TCTATCTATCTATCTATCTATCTATCTATTTATCTATCTATCTATTTTTGTTAAGAGGAGAATATATTTATTGAGACAGAGAAAGCTGTCCGAGAGACAGAAGGGGTTCCGAGTGGGTTGCCTTATCTATCTATCTATCTATCTATTTATCTATCTATTTTAAGAGCAGACCTAGGAAGAAAAGTAGAGCTAACACTGGTTATGTTTTGCTGGTGGTGCACAATGGATAGTTTTTTTTTTTTTAATTTTGTATAGTTTTTATTGCTTATGATAAATTAGAGCAAATATTTTAGATTTAAGAGAAATATTGACCTTTAATAGATGCTACAGTTTTATTTATTCAAAGTGATTGTAATGGCACATACTGGTACATTCATATAGTCTTACCAATCAATATGCTGATACCAAAGGTAGCAGCCAAGTGTTTGTTAGATGGCACTCAGTGTTGTTTTAGTCATTCATTTTGTCACACTCTTTGGGGCTGGATGCCCCACCTACCTGTGCAAAACTGTCCCTCTTTACACCTGTCGGACTCAAAGATTATAAATGAAACTGAAAATACTCACAGCTACATTTATTTTCTGATTGTTTTAATGAAACATTTGAAAATAACTAGGGGCTGGGGATTTAGCTCAGCAGCATAATCACCTGCCTTGCAAGCAGGTGGTTGTGAGTTCGATCCCCAGTACTGATAAAAAAAAAAAAAAAAAAAAAAAAAAAAAGAAAATAACCTTGCAGGTTTAAAGCCACAAAGTGAGCAGTATGCAGACAGTTTTTACTTATGCCCATGGAAGTTATCTTGCTTAAACTTTTTATCATTCAAGTCTTTTAAAATGTTTGGTTAAAGCGAGCAAAAATATAATTGTAACTGTGATTATTTAAAGATGTTATGTTCCATAAGCCCTGAGTAGTGAGCCAATCCAGTCATGATATCTTCTTAATTAAATATATTCAGGAATCAATTTTGCAATTTTTCCAATTGATCTCTTAGCTAGTTTATCTGAAATGATTTAGTTTTGGTTTTCATTGTAACCTTTGGTGTGAGACAGGTCTGAGAAGAAAGCAGTTGGGACAGGTAAGTCATCTACCCCAGGAATACAGGAGACCCTCTCTGCCTGCCTTTTGAGGTACCAGGTGTCTTCCACATATTGGCTCTCTCCTGTGGGCTTTCAGCCTGGGAGCCACAGATCTGTGCTGTGTAATAGGTGCAGACAGCCCAAGGATTCTGTGAGAGCCTGTGCAGGCTACAAGCAAATGCTATCCTGGTACCCTAAAAGTCTATGTTTCTATTTCCTGAGGTACAACAGAAACAGCAATATTAAGGGTTCAGCAATGCTGGCCGGTATCTTACATGCTTAGGACTAATCTACATTATTGGCATATATTTAAAATTTGTGAAAAGGTCATTGGGTTTATACTGCAGACCTGCTGTTAACGTAAGTCACTTAAACCCTCTGTGCCTCAATTTTCCTTTTTCTGTAAAACAGTCCTTGTAAGGTTGATTGAAGCATTGCCATAAGTGCAAGCTTTTGGTTTCAGCTTGGTACATAGTAAAAACTCAGCATTGAGATGGTGCTTAACATGTGCTAAGAACTGTTACTTCCATTTTTTTTTAAGTGCAGAGGGTGAGATTTAGAGAGATTCTTCCAAAATACATGAGCTGTATGTAGCTGTGGTGCCACAGTGTCCCTGTTAACATAGCTTGAAGAGGCAGCCTGTTGGTCTCATGTGTGGTATTCACAGCTCTTGTTCTGCCACTGCCCCAAATGACTGAGTATTCAGTGCTGATTATAATAATCTGATGTCTCCTTTGGGAAAATTAGGAGTCAAAGTAACCCTCCCTTGATTGCAGGGCATGACATACCTAAGATACTCAATTATCTACTCTAGTCAGGTATGGTAAATGTACAATACATCTAGATGAATTTTTGCTATTAAGCTTCCTACAAAAATGTAGCAACAGCAAATAGTGAGTTCACTTAGAATTTAAACAGTAGTGAGTAAGAGCAGTGTTGGTTGCAGGAAGATGTGGTTCACGGCAGAGTCGTGCTTCTTACTGATATAGTAAGTACTTAGGCTTCAGTTTGCTCAGCTGTAAAATAGCTATAATAGTGCATTCTTCTTGAGCTTTTTTTCTTAAAAACATCTGGCCAAATACACAATAGTCTTGCCACACATTAAATTATCAATGCATGCTAATTATTACTCTTTTCATATTAATATAGAAACATAGTTTGTGCCATAGAGATCCTAAGACATTAGAAAAAGTAGGACTGGGGACATCACTTAGTAGTAGAGTTTTTGCTTAATATATGTAAGACCTGTGTTCAGTGTCCAGCACCACACACAGAGACCTAGAGAAGGAGGGAGGGAGAAAGAGTGGGAGAGAGTAAGAGAGTGGGAAAGAGTAGGAGAGAGGGATGAGGGGAAGGATGTAAGGGGCTGATCAAGGAGTTAGTTGCTTTCCAAATGATAGAAAGTATTAAGAATTACTGTGTAAGAGAAATAACAGAATTACTGATATGACTGAATGTGATGTCTTACATTGAATAGAACTGATTTGGAGATAACTTCTTTAAAAAGTGTATTTTAGTGTAAATTTTCTCAGCTTTGACCAGTAAGAACGTTAATGAAACTAAATGTGCTAATTAGGTACCCTATGGAGAGTGCATGATCTATTATGCTTGTATTTGCCATATAAGGAAGTAGAATATTTGGAAATCATTAGGAAGTCAGATAGGAACCAGGCTTTACCTTGGGTTAAAACAGAAGGTTCCCATCTCTGTCTTTGTTTACACTGATGTTCTGCATGCTTCACTCATCTAGTTTTTAATAGCAGGGTTATATTCACCTATGTGCTTACCTCTTGCTTAGTGGGTTATATGTCTAAGAATTGCAGCTGGTCTCTGCATTTGTATTAATCTAAAGTTTTCTAGCCCAGGGGAAGCAAACATTAATTTTCATCTTGCAAAGATAGAATTTGAGATTCAGAGAAGTTGAAATTTGATCAGTACCATGGAGCTGGCTAGGGCTAAAACTAGGGAGCAGTTTGTTTTGGCTCTCCCACACTCCTTTTAGGCATTCCTCAGTGTTTGATTTGATCTTGGGATTCTTTAATAATCAACTCCCGAACCTTGGTGCATCTCTTGAATCATCTCTAGAGGACTGTGGTACTTTGATAACCTAATCCCCTAAGGAGAAAGGTGACCTTTGAGGAAGTCGGGCTTATTTCAGTCACACTAATGGCTTCTGGAATAGTCTCCAAACACAGGTCATTTTGTTGAGTCTTGGGTTTTACACCGGTAAATCAAAGCTACTGTCTTATCCCTATGCACAGGACTTCTGCTCTGAGAGTCCCAGGGGTGACTTCACCCATATTTGATCTGACTTCTGTTCTCCCTTCCTCACTCCACCTTTTATTGGACTTTGAGGGATTTTCACATGTTTTCCCAATGTTTCTCAGTTTAGAGCGTGCAAAGAACAAATAAATGACCTTTCAGATCATTCTGCTTTAAATTTCTGTAGCATTTTCACAGAGTATAGTGCTAGCATGAAACACGTTTGCTTTAAAGGACATGAAATACTAAAACTTCAAGAAAGGAAGACAAGTAGGCAGACAGATGAGTACAATTTCATTCTGATTTGATCTTTCTTCTTTCTCCCACATCTCCAACTCAGCCCTCTTCATATACCTTCTCAGGTGAAAACATTGTTCCCTTGCATCTGCATGAAATAGTTACAGTTTTCTAAATACCTTTTTTTCCTAGATATTTTTAAAACATAGAATTCAGAGCTTATATTGTTCCACTCTCCTCCTTGCCCATGTATCCCTGCAAAAATTGATGTTAGAGACAGTTGTCTGTGGATGGGATATTGCTGAAGGACTAAGAGGTTATGTCTCCATCTGTCACTTTACAGAGATAGTCTTTTTTTTTGTCTTTTTCCTTTTTATCGGTACCAGGGATCAAACTCACGACCGCCTGTTTGCAAGGCAGGTGCTTATGCCGCTGAGCTAAATCCCCAGCCTCTACAGAGATAGTCTTAAATGGGCAGAAATAATGAATTAAAGCCATCAACAGGATAACTGGCTTTCTCTGACCCCTGACTATATAGAAATTTAGAACAAGATTGGTTTCTGTTCATATTGCAAGTGGAATCTTGAACTTGAATTAGGAAAAAAAGTATTACTAAAGATGTTAATATACCTAATAAGAAAACAGATTCAACTTGAGAATATGATATTAAATTCTATCATAGTTATCTTAACCTAATAAATTAATCTACCTTAGGCTCATATAACTTTGAAAGTCTTTTACTATAATTTAGAAATGGTGAGCTCTACATGCATGCTTTTTGTTTTCTTCCCTGGAGTGAGAATTTTCCTGACAGTTCAAATGTGGAACAGGCCTAAGCTGTTGCTAACCTGTTTGTCAGTTGCTGGGTAGTTTTCTCAGTGTCTTTCCTGACATGTTTTAACTTGATTTCGTAAGGCATCAGAATGAGGATTACCCTGTTCTTTGTAGTACAGTGAAAAGAGTGAGATTTTTTTTGATCAAAATGAGGCAATCAGGACTGAAAAAATCATCTTTCTTTTTGGTCTCTTTTTAAAAAAATATGAATAAAAGGTTATGAAATATATAGTTTTGTGTCTTAGTGAACAATTATCAGAGGCATTGGATTTTACTCATCGGATAAAGCAAAAAAAAAAAAAAAAAAGTCTGATAGATAGAAGTGAGTACAGAAACTTTTCCAGGTTTGAAGGCACAGTACCCAGCTCACATGTTCTAGCTGCCCGAGTTGGAAACTGTGAAACCATGAAGCAGTGGTGGCCCCTTTGCAAAAAGTGGTGCCTCCCTTAGAGGATTTGTGTATATTATTGTCAGCATTGTAATTTCTACCTTTTCTTCAAGTCTCATGTTTAAGGAAAAGTATAATACAGTCTTAGTCATAGTAGTATCCCATCAACCATGACTTTCAAGAAAATAAAAATTTTTATTTACCTTTCATTGCGGTGGCTGACTGTCCATTCACCTGACACGAACGTCTTCAAGTTGAGACAGACCTTGCATCTCCAGTTGAGAATAAGCCTTGACACTAACGTTGTCTAGGTAGTGAATTTTCTGGGGAAGAACAAAAGATGATCATTTTCTCTCTCCTGCCAGTGAAGATCCACGTTCCCCTACCCTTCTGAAGGTCCTCCTCCGAGCAGCACTTTCAGACTGGCCCGCCCAGCACCAAGTGGTGCAACTTGCTCCCTAGATAATGTAAATGACTCACATTTAGAGTAGGTGAGTTTTGTAGACAGGGAAGAGCATTTCCTGAACCTGCAGGAATCAGCCAGTGGTGGTGATTCACCTGAAGGGCACACAGAGGGCTGGAACTCAGTGCCAGAATTCAGTAAAGAGTAGAGTGAAGTCTGGGGGTGGATCCTCCTTCCTAATCCTATCTTCAGACCCAGTCTTTAAGTCTACCTTTTTTGTGTCTTTCATTTTGGGGTTTTCAGTAGCAAATTAGAAATGCATTTAAAGTCTTCCTGCTGGATACATTCTGGATTGAAAGGAATACAAGTGTATTTCAAGAGAGAAAATTTTTTAAAAATACTGGACATGTGTAAAGAGAAAAGTTAAAATATTCAGACAGTGTTAGTTGATAGCTGTGGGAAAGCTGTAGTGTATTCAAGATTCTGATGACATCTGTAGACCAGTTTCACACATACACAAATATACATGTCCCAATATTTTAAAGTTAAAATCCTAATGTGGGGTCACTGAGTTCTTTATGCTATTTTTCAACAATACAACTTGTTCTTTAAGAAAAAAATCCCAAACATTTATATAACCTGGTCATTTTTTATTTGTAATTCACTTTAGAGCTTTCAGATAAAACTTTCCAAAGATGCTGGTGTTCTCTTGAATGCAGTATTTAAACAAATCAATAAAATTTTTTTACTGACTCAAAACCTATTAGTGTGATTACTGTGAAAAGTAAAGAGAAATAAAAATCATGGTGGCAAATGGAAATATTTTTAGTTAAGTCTGTAATAGGCATTATGCAATGTTTACTTAGGCCTTAAGGAGATAATATATTCATACTACTTAGATTTCCTTCTGTGTTTGTACAGAAAACCAAATACGTTAAATTATCAGTATTTGGGTATCAAAATTATCTTTCTTCTATAGTCCTTTTCTAGACAAACCAAAATAGACCAGTACAATTTTCCATTCCATGTAGGGTGGAATGAGCTTGTTATGAATGAGTAGCTAGTCCTAAGAAAGCTCTCTGAATAAAAATGAGCCAATTTAATAATGGCTTAATCTTAACAAAAGTTTTCCATATTTACAAACAGCTCTTTATTTAGGTTTGCATTTCATAATGCTGTTTTTATTTCTTCTCCATGGAGTTTTCCTTTTCAAATTCGAAGCCAGTTCCATGCATTTGAACAGGAGAGTTATGTTATGGAGGCCTTGTTTTGGGAGACTTGTGCTTATTGCTATTTCACAAATTATTATCCATTAATAGTAAATCATGCACTGTTCATAATTCAAAATCAATTCTGAAACAATGGCTAAGTCTTAAGAGCATCAGTTTAAAGGGGAATCACCCCTAGTAACCGCTTTTAAAGTAGGCTGAACAAAGACCTTCTCTGCAAATTCTTAGGATCATTACCCTAAATTTTAGTTGATGTGTATAAAGTCACAATGGGAGCTTATAGAGGCAGATATTTGTTATAAGAATAAAGGGAGTTCTGTTATATATCTTGAATTTTAATACATTAAATACCTGGGTTGACTTTGTTTTATTAGGGTCAATGAGTTTAGTATTGACATTTTTACTTTAAGGAAAATGCCTTTTTAGAAAGTTGTTGATGGTTTTTATATACTTTTTATTTTGCATTTGAAAGGAAATGTTTTGGTAATTTAGGATTACAGGTCATGGTTTACCATATCTTTAAAAATTGAAATGGTTTTATTGTCTGTGATGATATGAACAGCTATTTTGAAGAAAACAAGACATCATAATAGCTAGTGCTGATTTAATATCATCTTGTTTTGAAGTCCCATCAAGCTGTTGTTCTTCTGTCTCCATTGGTTTTATCATGTTGTATCTTATTGGATTTTATTATATGTGATAGTATAAACAAAATTTTTTTATAGGCAAAGAGATAGTGTAGAAACCATTGTTCATTTTGTTTGCTGGTTCTAAATATCCTGTAATACTTTCATCCTCTTGAATGTTTTCACGGTGTCTTGATATGTTTGATGCTATAGTACACGAAGTTAAACTCAAATATTTCAAGGAAAGAGACACTATGGTAACTAATATTAAGTTGGGTTATCTTGTGGTGAAACACTATGTTGCTTAAATTGTTCTGTTCTGATCTGTATTGTTATGTTGTTATGTCCTCTTTTATCTCAATCTTCCCCCCTTTTTAAAAAAATATTTATTTTTATAATTTTTTTAATTAAGGGAAAAAATTAGCAGTATATATTATAGTAACTTTTTTGATTTCCTGTTAACTTGATTTGAAGCCCTGTATTGCTCCCACCATCTTGTTTTGACTGATTTTACTGTTTTGTTTGATAGTATCAAGTTTGAGGGTATAGGCAACTACTTTGAAGGCAATAAGATTCACTATGATGCCCATTCTGGTTTGACTATTAGCTTCTTTTGAAGTCCTGTAATGTCTCAAATGTTTAGGTTTTATTGGTTTTGTTCTGTACTGTTTTGTTCAATTTTATTATACCTGATGATTTAGGCAATTCCTTTTAAGGTAGCAGTAGGCATTATGGTAATCATTGTTGATTACCTTGTATTCTGTTTTACATCATGTACTAGGTCCATCCTTTGTTTTGTCATATTTGGTTTTATTCTCTTCCAAAAAAAAAGTAATAAGAACTGTGGGAGTAATACAACCCAAAATGAGTTATTGTTATTGTAAAAAAGAGAGGAAAAGAAAGTGCTCTAAAAGATACAACTGCAAGTGTGTGTAGGTGTGTAAGATAGATGACCATATTACTAAGTTTTTGTTGGATCATTGAACAGAACTTTTGCAGTCTCACTGTTTGAATGTCCACATTATATGCTTTAATTTTGTAACTTGAACAAATATTTCTAAGATGACAGTATGTAATCTATTAAAAAAAAAACCCTGTGAAGCAAATAGCCTGTATAAATGATTATGATAGGCCCTCATCCTTGTGAGGAGGGACCTTCACGTATTCTGAAGTGCACTTTACTTTGTGTTGGTAACTGGGATGATAGAGGTCTGTGCCTTGTCTAGGGATGGGCTTGGGATACAGTGGGCCTTCCCCCTCCTTAATAGGTAAACTGTGTGTGTGTGTGGTGTTGGGAGGGCAGTAATTTGGTACTTCTTTGGGTGGTGATACAAATGAAGTTTTGTAACTAAAAAGTTAATAAGAGGTAAGCTTTATGCGTTAGTCTACAGGTATTTTATGCCACTGTCAAGTTAGAACTTGTTAAAGCGGATCGTACCTAACATTCAAAAAAGGGAAGCAGTACACGTTTAGTCATGAAAAAGTGTAGTGCTTTGACAAAAAGAGCAGCCAGCCACCAGCCCATAACTTTGTTATTGTTCACATCATTGAAAGATGAAACTGCCTGATTTTTTTTTCTGCTGATTTTTATAGGAAGTCTCACATTTCATAAAGGCTCTAGGAGGATTTTTAGCAATAATTACTTTGATGATTCATTGTAAAGTCCTCTCAAATGCAGAGTAACTTTTTGTAATATTGCTTAGTCATTACAAATTTCAAATTTATTTTGAACATAGGACACCTATCCTCTATGTGTGTGTGTTTCTGCTGGCATGGTGCTTAAAATAGTTTTTTCTTTTTGGAGATAGGAATAATTGTGTTTCTGCTGACATTATTTTTAAGGACTTTAAGTCCATGTAGAAGTCAAAAGAACTTTTTGACTGGATTCTTCTCTATCTATAAATTGTTATGATTTTTAAAATAGACTCCTCTCTCATGTGTTTTGGGAATGTGTTTAAAGTGATAGTCATTATAACAAATGTGTCACCTTCCTACTTCAGCATGTAATTCCCAAAAGCAAAAATGTATTCACTTACCTTAACACAGACAGTAATGGTGAACGAGTACTATTTAGAAGTTTTGAAAAGTTTGCATTAAAATTTGCATTGAAAATGTGCAGTAGTATCTTTTGTGAATTCTTTCGTTGCTGTGGAATCTAGTCAGTCCTTATATACTGCTTAGTTTTAGGCTTTTAGAGCTTTCTATTCCTTAGACAGCTCCCTCTGCATTTTTGTCTTTCTCTTAAATCTTCTTGCTTTTGAAAATTTGTTTTCATCTGTATTTGCAAAGTCCATCCTGTGGAATATAGAACAAGGGGATTCTTATATGTTCCTGAGGCATTCGGAACATACTGCATTGGAGTCTGCTTACTTTAAAGCTTACTTTGGGTTTAAAGTTTAGAAGTCAAATGGGAATATGTAATTTTGCTTTTGAATATAAGCCCCATTCAGAGATAATTAGTTGAAAAGCCTGTAGGACTAAATGTACTTTTTCTTTGAGATATGGGTAGCTCATATAGCTTCTGTTTAGTTTGTCCGAGATGAAAATTCTGGTTTAATCACAGAAATTTGGACAAGATGCTCATAACCTTACTGACTTCAAAATATATTTTCAAGGAGAACAGTGAACTCAAGGAAGATATTTGTCATATTATTCCAATTAGAATTAAGTAAGGTTACTGATAAAATTTTCTCAATTTTGAAATGAACATTTTGCTGTCATTTCTCACTGTTTTGGTATTAGAAACTGAACACATATCACCAAGGCTTACCTTGACCTCCTTGTGATTTCCCTGTGGCACAATACTTCTTGTTCTTTCCACTTTTCCTTTTTTTCTGTGTTGATATGGATCTGGGACAGTGTCCTCTCTTCCAGTGTTGGAAGCATATTATTTGTGTTGTAATCTCGTTTTCTTGTATCAATGGAAATTCAGATGATTCATTTCTTCTTTAAGAAAAATGCTCGTATTGAAGGATATCCAAGTTCTTTGTAGTACAATGACTCAATTACAGAAGAAAGATAAGCAAGATCTAATTGAAGCAAAGCTCTTAGTAATGTGTCTTAAATATCTATCTTAGCCAGAATGTGCAATGAAAACTGTAATAAATTCTTCACAAAATCTTACTCTTCTATCTCTATACACAAAGTCATCCTAACTATGGCTAACATCCAGTACCTATGCATTTGTGTTGTGTATTATTACAAACCCTTTAATATTCTTTTGATGAGATTGCTAACTTTGGGTCTTATGTTAGAATTACTATATTTAATCTGACACTCAACATGATTTGTATCTATTAAGTCTGCTTTACATAAAGCACTTATGCTTGTCTGGTATGTGAACCTATTTTGTAATGGTCAGTGAAGGGGAAAGGTGGTTTGGAGTTTGAGTCTGGAGACAGGTCTGTGTCTGACTCTTGTGCTCTCAGTGATACTCCTAGACTGAGCTAATTGTCTCCAGATGTGGAAATCTTGTTTGTGAGAGGCATTGTTGGGCTTGGACAGAACTGGTCACTGGGGTAAAGGGGGCTCTAAACTGCATTTCAACTTCTCCATTTGGTGGCATTTTATTTTGGGCCAAGTTATTAGAATTCTTAAGTCTCAGTTTCTTCTCTTGAATAGTGAGCTTGGGAATGCCTACCATGCAAGATTGTAAAGCTTTAATGTGATAGTATATACATGGCAATTCCTAAAGTGTTTAGAACTTGATTGGAATTTAGGGAACAGCAGCACATTTTTCCTGTTAGAAGGCCAAGGGAGAATAAGTGAATGGAGGATTTTCATGCACAGTAAAGTTGGAATAAATAAGCAGGGGAATCTCAAGTTCAAGCCTAGCTTGGGGAACTTAGTGAGACTGTCTGAAAATAAAAAAAAGAGCTGGGGATATAGCTCAGTGTGAAAGCCTGGAGTTCAAATCCCCAATAAAATACACACACACACAGCTCCACTCAGAACTAATTAAAGTACATCAGTAATACTTTGCTTGCATTTAGAGAGCTCACAATTTCCCTCTAATGATGAACAGAATATTTATTGTAAACTTTCTGTAAAATTTTTGTTGCTACAGAGGAGGAAATTAGGACTTCTGTACTCAGGACTATGACATTGTGTGGAAGGGTATGGGAACACAAAGGAGGTGGTCTGAGCAAGCCATTACACTCAGGGTAATTCTTTACAGATCAGGTATTTCTTGTTTGAAGAAAAACAATTGCACAATTAACTGGAGTCAAAAGACAGATAAGATTAGTATATATATATAAGTTTATTGCATTAAGCTAATATTCTTAAAGACAAACCTGAAAGGAGTCAGATATAAATTTGATAAAATTTATTAATATGTACACATTCTTGTGCATTACCCTAGTTTTAAACAGAAGTTCAACAACAAAGGGACACCTTATTTTCTTCTGTGCCTCAAGATATTGAATTTGTCAGTTTGAGTTTTATTATAGGAGTAGCAAAAGTTTCTAAGCTGAGTGAGATATAGATTTCTTTTTTTTACAAAAACTGACTTACCTATGTACTGTAAGTCTTAATTTCCTTTCTATTCAGTTTCCTCTTATATTTTTCCTTTCTCTTTTATTCCTCCTTGTCTTCTAAGAGCCTTCTACCCTTACCCCCCCTCCATTTTCTCTTGATGCTCCCCAGCCCTTTCTCTTGCCTCCCCCTCCACTCCCAATAACTTAAACTAGAATAGGTGAGGCAGGGAACCAAACCCTCAGGTGACCTGGGTGTGTGAAGGACTGATGTAGCTATTTTGAGACCTAGATTGGTTCTCCTGCTCATGTGATTCTGCCCAACCAATTGATTTGTGCCTGTGCTCTGCCATTTCATGTGGAACATTTTCACTCTGAACTTTACAGTCTAGGAAGGAACTATTCTACTTGTTCTTAACGGTGTCTAATGTGACAGCTGTTACTTCTCTGTGGAATTGTTCAACTGACTTGTTCCCTATGGGAAGAGAAATGCTGACTGTGCCATTTACAAACAAGGGCTCCGCCCCACCACTTTCTTACAGTTACCAGTAACCTTGTAGTTGTGAACTCATCACATGTGATTTTGTTAGAGGGATTCTGTTCCTATTTCCTCTTTGAATCTCTCTTGTTCCTTGATTTCCAAACATTTCCCCCTCCTCCACCCTCCTGGGTTCCTCTTCGATTTGTAGAACTTGTGCAGTGTAGCCTCTGTGAGCCTCATCTTGTTCCTCACTGACACTCCTTGCTGCTGTGGGATACTTAGAATACATACAGGGTACCATGTGTATACCCTCCCTGCTTTGGAAAGCGTGAAGCTCCTTTGTGCTGAGCCTCTCTTTTTTCCTTCCAGCAGCTGCTTACTCTCTCTTCTCACTAATGGGCTTTGATAGCAGCCTTTGATTGGTGGCACAGAGAGACCATGATCAGAGTAGGTGTGGTTTGGTCCACCCCTATATGCTTCACTCCCACCTTTGCCCTGTTTCTGAAGGGCGACATGCACCAAGGGCGGATCAAACGCTTTCTTCCTGCTTCAGTTTTTTTTTTTTTTTTTTTCTCCTTTTGTTCCCCACAGGGAGCCTAACAGTGTCGGTTGCATAGGTAGGTAGTGACTGTCAGAAAGATGATAATCCTCCTAAGGTGTCTGGCCCCTGAATGAATGTAGACACCTGAATGAATGTAGGTTCATAAGGTACTGGGAGGTTCTTGTGAACTGGGCCAGGGCTTATGAAGCAACAGCACCTGGGCTGCTTGCAGTTCACTCACGGTTGTGTTGTTTTTCTGCAGTCAGAAGTGAAGTTTTACAGATTATATGAACTGTAGTGTGGTACAGGAGCTTGGTGTGGTTTCTCTTGAGAGCTTTAGAAGATCTGAGGTTATATATAAACCTCATTTAGAATGTGGTCTTAGAAACCAGAGTCTGAGTTATTTCAGACCTTCTGCTTGCTAGCTGTATGACCTGGTGGAAGTTACTTAATCTTTCTGTTTCTCAACTTCTTTATCTCCAAGATGGAGGTAATCATAGTACTGTATGGGCTTCGTGGGAATATTAAAGGAGATAATATAGTCAGAATTCATGGTACATCTGGCTGGTACATGATAAATAGTAAGGTGTGTTGATTTCATTCTTGATGCTGTCAGTCTCACCGTTGCCATTGTCACCAGCCCCCGCAGCCTGAATTCTCTCCTGTACCCACCTGGTACTGAGTGGGAGATGCCCCTTGAAGTGGGCCATGGACTTGCCAGAGGACCAAGTCCTCACCACTCCCATCATCCTACAGTTGCCTTGCTTCCTTATTGACAATTTTACCCATCTCCTGTTGCTGACCTAGTACTTGGATATTCACATCCCAGGAGGTGAGCTAGTCCTGAGGAGCATGTAGCATGGCAGTTCTTAGCCTGTGGTTTACATCTGTGGCACCAGTGCTCCCTGGAAAGCTGTGCCCAGGCCTTCCAGACCCCACTGACTCAAAACCCTGGAGGTGGCTGTAGCCTGGCCCATGTTTGTTAGCATTCCTCCATGAAGCCACTAAAGTTCATGAGTAACACGTGTTCTGTGTTTACATCACCTCCATTTGGTTTCTGTGTAAAATTCAAAATGGTAATATGTGTTCCTAGGTACTTGATGTGTAAATGCTGAATTTAGTAAAGCCTTCTAATCATGCTTTTCCTGACATAATTGATACTGCTTCCTTTAGCTTGGGCTTTTCTGCTCTGACTATTTTATTCTGTTAAGATACATGTGACTTTCTAGAAGAATTTTATTCTTTACAGTAACTTTATTGACTTCTAACTTCATTGAGCTGGGAGTTCCCCCCTCATCCCCACCCAATAGAAATTGTCCTTGTGTGACAGATTCTCCAGTCCTTTTCTTGCTGGAGAGTGTTTGGAAGACCTCATCTTGTTTAATAAAAATAATTACATTCTAGCATTTATTCACCTTAAGAGGGTTTTTTTTAAAATTGGGGATCTATCTCACAACCTTGTACTTGCTACACAGGCAATGTACTTGTGCCATTGAGTATATCCCCTCTAGTATTCATTCATTCATTTATTTTTTTGTGTATATTGCTGGGGATTGAACTCTGAGCCTTCACACTGAGTGAACTACATCATCAGCACTCTCTCACCCTACTTTTTTCCATTTTATTTGAGATTGGATCTCACTAAAATGTTAAGTTTCCCCGGCTAGGCTTGAACTTGTGGTCTTTCTGTCTCAGTCTTCCAGAGTGGTGGGATTACAGGTGTGCTTCACCATGCCCAGCATACATTTGACGGAAGTCTTCAATTCTGGAGGGTGGATGTGGTGGTACATTTCTGAAATCCCAGTGCTCAGGAGGCTGAGGCAGGAGGATCACTGGAAGTTCAAGGCCATCCTGGACTACATAGTAAGTTGTAGGTCAGCCTACACCATGTAGTGAGACCCTGTCTCAAAAAACCTAACAAAACAAAGCAAAACATCCTCCACTGTGTTAAGAACACATGAGCTATAGCAAAATTGGCATTTAAAAAAATTCTTTTCTGTGTGTCATTTGTGATTACATTGTATCATCCTACCCATAAATTCTGGAATGTAGAATTGTGACTCTAATCTTAAAGATCATCATTTTGTGAATGTGATTGGAAGCTATCGCTAACATGTCTCTTCCTTAAGGTTTTGATACATTATTTTTTTGTACAGATCAGGTACTTTGCTGTTGATTGTAATATAATGGAATAATGTATTTATATTTATGGAAGCTTTTTAATACTGAAATTTTATCTGGAAATATATACATTAGTTCTAACCACATTCAAAGGATATTGAAAATATTAGAGATAAAATATATAGGTTATACTGCTAAGCATAGATTGTTGTTAAACAAGAGTGCTTTAGATACAAATAACTTTAAATACAGTGTTTCTTTGTAACTGTGTAATATACTCAACAGAGGCAGTGTGAATTTACCAACATCTCTAATAGTAATGGTAACTCAGTTCATTAAAGAGGATGAAAATCACATATCAAAGTACTTTATAAAGGAAGATTTTAGGGACTGTCATATGCTACAGTTATTGATTTTACTTAGCCAGTATCAACAGTACATGCCTAAAGCTTTGCAACTGAAATGGATATCATCTTTGGATAATATCATCAGTGACAGTACTTCCTTTTTGCCTCTTTAGTATACAAAAATTAAACCAAATTGTTTTGTGAAATATTTATTAGTTACACAATGAGGCAGCCTTTGCCATCAAAAATATGTGTGGGTTGTTTAAGAATACATTTGTATTTCAACAAGTAATTACAAAGCAGTATGATGAGTACAATAATCGAGGCATGACAACATGCAGATGATGGTCTGATTGATTTTGAGGTGGCAGTGGGAGATGGGCCCTAACCCACAAACTAAGTTGTGGCAACTTAGGATTTCACAGAGAAATATGTTTTCTAGGTGATTAGAAAGAAGTTTACATGTGGAGTGGCCCAGGGGCAAAAGCATAGTATATTCTAACAATTGCAGTTTTATACAAGAGTATAAAGTTAAAGGAATGAAAAAGCAGTTAGTGGATGCTTCCAGCAAGGTGGCTAAGTTCTATAGGGTTTAAGGCCTTAAGACCATGGGTGGAGGGAGGCCTGGGATTTACGTTATGAAAATTGTGTTGGAGCTGAAGACACATTTACAAGGAATTGTTCTTTGTGTATTTTCTCTAAATAATACGTTAGCACCCATAATTCCAGAAAATCACATTTTCCATTAAAAACATTCTTTATAGCCCACAAAGGGATTCAAGGAAAAAATGGAAGTAAATAAGAATAAGTAGATTTTGAAAAAAACTCCTAATATGGATATTACTGCTTTGGGGTCAGCAACTGCATTTCTTATGTGTATCAAGAATAGCACATAATATTTAAAACATCTCTAAGCCTTGATTTGGGGGGAAATACTTTGGAAGATATCGAGAAAAGTGTCTTTTAAAAATGTTAACTATCATTAGGAGATGCAGCCAAGAACTGCAGTTTATTAAATGGAAATCTGATGATGATGAACTCAATGTGCATCCAAAGAGTAGTGAAGTAGTCAACCAAGTTGAAGGAGTTGGGGTATAGACACTGTGAGCCAGGGAAGTTTTGCTGAAAAACAAAGCATTCTCCTCCTCAGTTTGTATATGCTGAGAGTGTAAGTAAATGATTTAACATTGCGTGTGCTTCTTTTAGCGTACTTTTGAAGTATAGAAGAGGCTCCTTATAACCCTAAGGAGAAACTTCTTCCCCAGAATTTCAGAAGTTTTCTTGAGCCAGTTGGAATCCTCAGACTCTTCATACCTAGCATGTTTTAATCCCTGGCTCTAGCTTTCATGGGTGAACTTTGGCAGTTGGGGTTGGTTTGTTTGTTTATGTCAGAAATATTAACATTTTAGTGCTATAATGGAGGTAGCAGTGTTGAAATTATATATGAAGGACTGTGAGATGTTTAAAGAGGAGATTTTTGAGGGATGAACAGTTCTTAATCTTTCCCAAAGTATTAAATTGTATGTCCTTGAAAAGGTGACCCCTAGTGGCCATATGCTTTCTGTTTGCTGAATTCTCAATGTGGTTTATTCTGCTTATGAATAGATCTATGTGGAGTTAAGTTATACAGTCTTTACTGTACACTGGATAAAGTAAGAACGCATTTATTACAGAATTTTTTCTTTTGCTACTTAATTTTGATTTCCAAATACATGACCTTTTGAAGTCTCATTACTAGACAGAAATTAGCCCTACGCAACCCTCAGCCCAGGGTTATATTTTCTGTCTGACTGGTACAGTGTTCTTGACTTGACGTTGTGGTCTTTCTCCATTTCATACATGGCAGTCTTTCTGTGAATTTTTTACATAGGAATATGTATATTAAAGGGTCCATACAAATGTTAGTTGCTGCCAAAAAGAGAGTTGTTTCTTTAGCAATGAACAGTTGATTCTCCTGCCTGCAGTCGGTCGTGTTGTTGGTCTGACTGTGTGTGTATGGTATTCTGGCGAAGTGAAATGGAGCGAAGCACAGAAAGAAGACTGCCACCACCACAAACACTTTCCCCTTCACCCTCTTGTTCTTGCTATCCTTACTCCTGAACTTTTTATAAGAACTGTATACTTTGGCTGCAATGACCATGTAAAACAGAAGCATCAGGACAAAAACAATCCAGAAAATAAACTGGCATATATAATTGACCACCTGATGCCACCTCAACCCCAGAGGGCCCTTCAGCGATGCACACTTTTTCACAGATGATGGTGTTGCTGCTTTGTTGTTCAGGATCATGTTTGGCAGGGAGATGAGGAACATCAGGAACCAGATGAAGGTTGAGACTATTTTTGCAAACATAGGTTTTTTAATAAAATATTTTCCAAAAGGTCTGATGATCTTGAGGAATCTGTCAAAGGCTATGAGGCCCAGCAGCATGATGCCTATGTACATGGTCTCATAAAACATCACAGCAGAAAAACGACACACAAAGGCTCTGAGTTGCCAGGGTCCGAGGTGTGAGTCAGAGAGGATTTTGAAAGGAAGCATGAGTGTCATTACCAAGTCTGCCACCAAAGTGTTTTTGAGATAGACGATGAAGGTGGAGGTACTGGGGATGTGAATGAATGTCCACAGGGCCAGCGTGTTCAGCAGGATGCCAGTCAAGAAAACCAGTGTGTAAAGGACTGGGAACACCAGCTGTGTAATCCGAGTGTCTCTTGGGCACCGCTCAGACCGGTTGAATCCCTGCACCACCGTGGCATTGATTGTTTCCAGTGTCATCTATTACAAAGAAACATGTACAGAAGCAGAGAACAGATGGCCCTTCATGATTGGCAAGTGCTACTTTAAAAACAACAAGCTGTACATTTGTAGCATAGTAGCACCCTGAATTTATTCAGTAGGTCTGTTGAGAACCCACATGTTGTTTCTGGCTTGAAGTTTTAAAGCATATAATACATTTTTAGTACTTTTAAATGTATCATTATGTCAAGACTTTCATACCCTTGTGAAATCTGAATAACAGGTTCTACTTCATTCACAATTGGCATTTTTAAAATGACAGTAAAACAAAACCCCAATTAAGTGGTAAGATAGTACATGCTAAAAAAAAAAGATAATACATGTTAGAAGTAGTATGTTATACACAGTAATGCCTAATCTATGGTTTGTAGAATACTAACATTAAACCATTTTTCTTAAGCATATTCTTCCTTTTAAAGCTAGCATATTCATAAGAAAAATTGAAATTCACCTTCATTTAAGAAGTCACTCAGCTCTGCGTCTTATTCCTGCAGTTGCTAACTCGTCCTGTGAAGAGCTTCTGAAACTAATGCCCTGCGCTTTTATACTGAGTTTCCTTCCTCATTTCACTCATGTACTTTTGTAATGTGACCTAACAGAAGAGGATTTGGAGGTTTTGCAAATAAATTCTTGCATGCAGACTTCTTAACTGTTAATCTATAGTTTGAATGAATTAATTTAGTTGCAGTGATCTTTGTTTTCTCTTAATAACTTTCCCCAGTCGTATCTTCTCATTGTATATAGTCAATGATTGTTTTGAATTTTTCTAGCACTTAATAAGGCTGAAGAAATATTGTCCCTAGCTATAATCAAATAGAGATTAAGACTTGTCTCTGAAGTCATTATTATCTTTTGCATCCTTACAGACTGAGAAATTTTTGTCACAAAGGCAGCTGACTTTTTTTTTTCCGGTCTTTTTGAGGCAGGGTTTTTCATGCAGTTAAAACTGGCCTCAAACTCCCAGTGATCCTTCTGCCTCAGCCTACTGAGTGATGGGATTGCAGGCATGAGCCACCATGCCCAGCTTTTATAGACCCTTGTTTCAGTCTTTTGATCCTGGGGTTTCTGAGAGTGAGTGTGACATTTTCTAAATGGTAGGGTTCTTAGACCCAAGATTTGAAGGAAGGACCCTAAATCCACTAATCATGTGCTATTAGATTATTGACAAAAGATTTAATAGTTGTGCATCTAAGTATTATTATCTGTATAATGTGTTTGAAAATATCAACATCATACCTTGTTGAGAGGATGAATTAATGATGTAGAATTGTCATGAGCACACAGAAAGCACTAAAACTGTTTGCCACTCACAGCTCTAGTGCATGAATTACAGATTTGAATAGAGATATAAGATTTCACTTATAGAAAGCCATTGTTAGGAATATACCAAATACCTCAGAAATTTTCATGAATTGCTTGTATGCTAAAATGTTTAGAATTAGTGTGTGTTTTCTTTTATATTTCTTGAAGTGTAAAGAAAGTTGTTGACTACGAGCATGTGCTTCCCGGATAGGTGAAGGGAAAGAGGAAATTGGGAGATCTTATGGGCCATGAGGATTCACCATGGTAAATTTCGTTTCCTATTTCTTGCCACAACTGTGACCATAGATTTGGACTAGATTGGAGGGTTAAGTTCATCAGAATATTTTGGATGACTTGGCTTAGAATTCTGGGATAGAAATTTCATATTCCCTTGAATATTTTTAATTATGAGGCAACACAATGCCTAATAATTTTGGCTGATTCTATCTAATTGGTTGTACCATTTGAAAATCTTATATTGACACATATTTTGTTGATACTCAGGAATACACACTCAAGATTTCACTAATATATTGGGACATAATTTAAACATATATCTAATTGTTTGCTTCAGCAGAGGCTAACAAAGAAGCAAACCTTTTTTTCAATTTTTAGCTAGAGTTGCTTCATCTATATAGTTAGTTACAAATTTTCCCACAGCCCAAAACCAATTATGTAGGTTTGGAGTACTTCTACTTTAAACAAGGGAAATCCTGGACAGGATAATTTCTTGGTATGAAAAGTGGAAATCACATTTTGGTTGAATTTCAAAATCCCAATTTGTGAGAAACTTTGAAAAGAGGAACTGACTAACTATGTCCACTCTGGTTATGGAAGCAAATTCTTTTAAATGTGTATGTGAAAGTGTTTGACCATTGGACCTGTGAAATTTTATGCCACACTCTGAGGTTAGAGGTTGAAAATAAAGTGGTTGAAAACTATTCTGAGGAGGGAATCAAGATAACAATGAAAGGTCATCAAATTGCAACTGCCAAATGGCAACAAGTTATTTCCATGTCTCCAAGTTAGGTTAAAGGGTTCTTATTGATTTGACTAATCAATCAGTACCATGTGAATAATATCTGAAAAGATAAGGAAGTATTTACTTTGATTTGGAATAACACTTAAAACAGGAACTTGCATATTTCTAGAAGAGACTTTTAATTTCCATATACTATGTACTTTCCTCAAATTGTGTAACATTGTTTTAAAGATTCCATGCTATAGTAATCAGTAGTGATAAAAGATCTGAAATAAATTACACAATTTGAGAGTAAATACAATTTTTGTAAGCTAAAATGTTAGAAAATTTCTACTTGTAACTAGAAACAGACTATAAATTGTAAGTTATTTGAATTACTAAATATTTTAAGTTTAATGTTAAAGTATGTTTTTAAAAACCCAAATACAGACATGTGTCCAGCAGAATGTGGAAACTAATCCCCTTTCATACATGTACTGATATATATGTAGGCATATATTTACATTATTTACACATTGAATCTTTTTTTTAGGTCTATATGAGTACACATAGACATGTTTTTAAAGCAACATATTTATAATCTAATAATATATATGTCAATACCATAGTTTAATTGATACTGGGGACATTTAGTTTGTTTCCAAGTTTTCTACTAAGAATGATACTATGAAGTACATACATGCTCATATATTCTCTTGTGCATCTATCTCAACATGTTTATAGGAAAATTTCTATAAGTAGGATAGCTGCATCAAAAGTTACGTGTTAGAATGTTGAATGGTGTTTTCAAATAGATTTCCAGAAAGATGGTGCCATTTTATGTCCCACCAAGAGCAGAATTCCCTAAAACCATTATAAAGAATTTTTAAAATTAATTGGAAATTTGCAGATAAAAAAAATGTGCCATATTTTATATATCATATATATGTGTTTGAAACTTGTAAATGGGTTGTATATATTTTTATATTTTGTATATTAGTATGTTGAAAACATTTTCAGTCAATTAGAAACTTTAAAAACTGCCACATATATAAATTTATAATTTATAAGGAGAGTATATATATATGTATATATTTATATTTTTATTGGCCATTTGTATTTCTCTTGGGAACTGCTTTCTCTTGCCCTATTCAGTTTTAAAAATCAAAGTTTTTCTCAGTACTTTTTGTAATTCCATGTTTTTAGTTCCCATTGGTAATGTTCTAATCCAGTTCTAGGCGTTACCTACCAAGAGCGATCAACTCTTTCCTGTGTGCTGAGATACCTGTATCTGCAAAAAGAGGATTTTATTTCTGCAGTTTTTCTTTCTGTTTCCTCATTCGATTTCAAGGGATGACAATCTCCATTTTTGGAAGAACTAGTTAGGAAATAACTTGAATTGTGCAGGCCATATGGTCTCCATTACTACAATTCAGCTCTGTTGCTTGTAGCTGGGAAGCAGCTATAGATACAGCCTGAATGACATGATTGTGCTGCAGTGAAATCTTATTTTTGAGTGCTGAAATTTGAATTTCATGGTTCTTGAAATTTTCTTCTGGATTTTCCTCCACAAACACTTGCAAATATAAAAAAGATTCTTACGTCACAGATTGTGCAAAATAAGTGATGAGTTTTGGTTTGACCTAGCAGCCTTTGTTGCCAACCTTTGCTGTGATGTTTTCTGTAACAAAGCACTGATAGGAACTGCCTTCACCCCTACCCATAGGCTTTGAAAGCCACGGAGGCTATGTCAGGACTACATGCTGTGTTTTTATTTTTTATTATGTTTTGGTACCGGAGATTGAATTCACAACCTTGCACTTGTTAGACAGGTGCTTATAACGCTGAGCCAAATAAATCCCCAGCCCCATTCTGTCTTCTTATCTTCAGAATTTTTCACTCACCCATATCTGTACTTTTTTTTTTTAACAAAATAAAAGTCATTATGAAGTGTGGGGTTTATTATATCAAAATTATAAAGCTGGAGATAGTGACACATAGCATGTATAATTAGCACTCAATAAATACCTCTCAGGCTTTTTGTTTGTGGGATTATATGGTACCTATTGTCCTTGAGTAAAGAAATTCCAACAAAATATGACTTAGAGTTTTGATGTATAGATATATTATATAGATCTCTATATTTATATAGGATATCTGTATATCTACAAGGGAATATATATTGAGAGGCCATATCAATATGTCTTCAAAAGATATATATGATATATATCTATTATATATAAATGATAGATAATTCCAAATATGATACAGTTCTTTTTATAAAAATCTCACGTGGCATTTGTAGTTCTTTTCTGTTTCTTTGAGGAAAAATATCATCTCAGCAAATTAGTGCAGCCCAGTAAAGAAGAATTGTTCAGGTCATCTCTGTCTATTCTCACATTTGACCTCCTTGGCACCATGAAGAGGTCCCTTATACTTCACTCTGTAGTCCTAACTTGGAATAGGTGAAGAGGCTGAGTAACCTCTCGTTTGTCTCACATGCAAAGTAAGGTGTTTTGATGAATCTGGTTGATCTCTAGGTTTTCTTCCACTTCAAAAATCCTGGTATTATAGAACATGAAGATTTAGTCTTCTGATATTAGACATAAATGACAGAAATGGCCACTACTATTAGCCCAGAAGTATATAAACACCTGTGTTTGTGACACAGGTTGCTATGTCTCCACTGACATTCAGTGCTCACTTGTACACGTGGCAAAGTAGGAAATGTGGCTGCTTGAGAATATACATCATGAGGGACTTAAGTCTCTAAACTTGTACCGAAGTTTAATTCCACAGAAATTATAGCAGGTTTAGATATTATTGAAGTTCAGCATTCCTATATTATAGCAAACTCTTTTTATTCTTCTGACATATATTTAGATATTGGTATTGTGCTGCTTATGTTTGAGAATCACCTCTGGATATCATAAATAATTGGAATAAGTAATTTTTAAGTAACTTTTACTGTTACATATTTTGTTTTTATTAAAAACATCAAATATGACCCTGATGTGACCATTGTATTCATATACTGAAACGTTACATCATACACCATAAATATGTACCATGTGTCAAAGAAAATAAAAACACTAAGTATGGCTTGTGTGAAATCATACTCTGTTCTGCAACTGTGGCCAGTTTATCATTTGTATGTGAACTTATTGAGGTGACACCTCATCTTTAGAAGAGACTGCACAGTAGCATATAATAAAAGTGTTGATTGTGTTTCTTAAATGGCTTAATGTTTGATGTAGTTGTATAGGAAGACGGTAAGCCATGATATATAGTATATATTTTGAACAAAGAATGCCAACAAAGTGATACAAAGTTTAATGTACATTTTTATGATATACACACAAATGCAAATAAAATAATGCTAAATAGTCAATTTCATAGTAATTACACTGTGCAATTTTGCAGTCATACTTCATTCATTTTACTTAGTAAAGGGAAATGTTCATTAACTCAAATATCAGGTATTTCTAGAAGCTAGTTAATAAAAATTAGTGTGAATGATGGCACTGTATCCGCTGAAATTGTTAAAATATTAGTAAAACTGACTTCCCTAATTCTTTTATTATTAAGTTGTTATAAATATAATTCTTCTAGTTTTAATGATTTCATTTAATATTTCTGCTGTTTACTAGAAAGACATTCCTTAAATCCCTGTCATCTTAACGAACAATTAAAAAATTCAGTTCCATGAAATATCATTTCAATTAGTTTAAATCCCTAAAGATTCTGATAATAATTAAAAATCAGTAGTTACACTTTATCTACCATACTTAAAGTTTTATAAATCTCATAACAGGCTATGATTTGGTTAGGGAAGTAAGATGTGTATTCTTCCTAATAACCATTTTTTTTGGCAAGTGGATTGTATCAGATTGACTTTTTTTCTGTTGACATAAAAATAAAATTGTAATGAATGATGTATTTAAAAAGTTATAGTACTTATTATATGCTAACCCATTCTGAAAAAGCTATGCAAATAATGAATTCTTTGTAGTTTTTCATGCAGTGTGTTGATTTGGTATAGTTTTTTAATATGTACTTACAGATTAAATTATTGTCAAACATTTCAGGATAGCTTTTTATACTAGAAAAGTAGGTGAAAATTATTTTTGTAGTTATCTGTTGAAGTGATACTATTATGAACCAAGCTGCTTCTTAGTGTTAGCATTTTTACATAGTGCTTTCATTTGAGGGATTCTTAATACTAATAGGTTGCAGCACTGCGTTGGGTAATTTGCTTACATTGGCGTCTCTTCACTTGGGTCACTATTATCCTGCCTTTTCTTTCTGTTTTCTTGCGATGAAGATTTTTCAGAATTGTGGCACCTCAGCATGCTTATCAAGGAATTTCTAAAGGATTTGCAAAGGAAAAAATAGATGAATGGATCCAAGCATGCATTCAAAGAAGTTAACCAGAGTGTGCTTTCTTTGACATAGAACAAAGTGTTTTCTGCAGCACAGTCAAAGACATCCCGGGTCTGACTCAGAGTATAGGGTATTCGAGCAAAATGGAAAGGAACAAAACAAATAAAGAATACAGCAATGATGATAAAAACTTTGACATTTACCTTTTTCCTGGGGACTTTGCCTACTCCCCTTGTTCTTACATATGATCTGTAGAGTTCTTTTGTAATGAGTGTATAGCATACAATGATAATTAAAAAATTAATCCAAAAAATGACTTGACAGATGTAATTGACTATTTCATGCCAGACTAGCCCAAACTGTGATTTGAAGAAAGAGCATTTCTTCACAATTTTGCCTGGTGGTCTCCTGTTGGTGAGAATCATGTTAGGCAAAGAGAATAAGAACATGAAGGCCCAGATGACAACAGAGAGAATCTTAGCCCCCAAGAGATTACTGGGGTTGGTTGTTTTAAATGGCCTGGTGGTCTTCTGGTATCGGTCAATAGTTATCAGTCCTAGGAATGAAATACTGATATACATTGTGAAATAAAATATGACAGAAGTAACTTGACACACAAAGGTTCTCAGAGGTCCTGGTCCCAGTTCAGCATCACTAAGAATTTTGAATGGGAAAGTCAGAATCATGAGAAGGTCAGAAATAACTGTGTTCTTTAGAAAAATAATGAAGTTAGATTTACTGTTGATTTGAAAGAAAATCCTCATTGCCAGGCTGTTTGTGATGAGCCCGACAAAAAACAAGACAGTATAGAGCAGTGGAAAGAGGATTTGGGTGATCTTGTAGTCCCTGGCACACAGGCTGCTGTTCCCGGGTTCAGAGGTGAGGTTGCTGGTGGCCTCCATTTCCTGTTCGCTGCCTACAACAGGAGGGAGAGTGATTATTTTAGTTCCAGTAGTTCATGTTAATGCTACTGCTGAGTGTAACTTTTTCAGATGCAACTTTAACTAGAGATTTCTGGTCTTTATTGTGGCAGTTCATAGGACCTCAGAAAACAGAATCTCAAAATATTTCATCTTAGCAAATATTTTAGTGTAACAAAGCATAGTGATACCAAGTGCATTATATGATATTAGGGGTGCCCTACATTTCTTGTTTGTTGAAAATCTGCTTTTTAGGACAATTTAATCTGAACCCATCTATGTAACCCATATAAAAGCTGGAGGAGTGGGACGTGCACTGTGATTTATTCTTTCCCAGCTTCACTTGCCTTTTAAGGGTCTTAAGTTTCTACATATTTAGGGCCACTTTTCCTCCACCTCCCTTATTTCTGGCTTCCTTTACTCTCAAATGTTCTTTACTATCAAATGTTTGGAAAAGAATTGATTAATAAGGACCCATTAGAATTTAAATTTGAAATTAAAAAGTGAAAAGAAAGAAGTGTGAAATCACTCTTGAGGATTTTAGTAAGTACTGAATAGGAAAAAATAGCTGAAACACTTTCCTGTAAATTATGAAATACCCCTGCCTCTATATGGCCAATCTATTCAAAAGTAAGCTTCATGGAGAATAATTGTTTAACTCTCAGTATTTTTAAAACTCATATATGTTTCACTTTCAACGTTGTAGGCTATATTTGAAGTTTTACATAAATTTCATGAATATCATTCATTTAACCTTTTAAAACTAAAAAATAAGGAATTACCTAGGTATATATGCTCATTAGTTGGTATTCTTTAAAATAACCAGGATATATATTTTTAGATGTTTGGAGTATATAATCATAGCTAAAATAAATAGCAAAACTATGTACTTCTCTGCCTTCTTATTATTAGCAAAAGAGGTAGCTATAAAGAAAATTAACCACTGACTTCAATATTATTACTTGGCATCTATTACTCTGAAGCTTGAGATGAAATTTGTGATACTTTATTTCATGTAAAACAAAACTGACTCTACATTAAATATCATTCCTAATAGACGTAGTCATATTGAAAGTAGAAATGTCTAAATAAAGAAAAAAATTTCCATGTAAAAGATTTAATATAATAAATGAAGGTAACACTTAATTCCTCAAACTATAATGGAATTCTTTTTTTAATTTGGTAATTATTAAAAGCAAAACAATTTAAAATCATATCAATTTCAATTTTCAAAGCCTCTTATTTAATGCTTTTTAAAAGAACTGAACTACACTGGATATTTTATTAATACAAGAGCATTGATTTTCAGCCTTCTTTACTGCTGCTTTACAATTCATGTCGACAATTCTTTATAAAAGCTTTACTTTGCATGAATTAAGTTGTTTAATAAATACTCCTGACAGCAAGAATTTTGGCTCCCACTCTGTTTAAATCTCATTGTTAAGACAAACCATTTGTAATTTATTTCTGTGCTTTGCATATTTTTTTTTACTAAAGGACATAATGATCATCTATGATATCACTTGTTTTATTTTAATTTTCCAAATATGTGCTTGAAGTGATATTGTTATTTAAGATTTTCAATTTCAAATTTAGAATACTTATACACTCATCTCAGTATAAACAGATTTCTGTAAAATACTTCTAAATATGGAATATTACCTGGTTATTCTGTTGATCTGAAGAATTTGAATGTCTCCAGTCGTGGTAGTTAATGCAACTTGCAGATTGGCATCTGGTATTTTCCTTCTAAAGTCTTAATTTAGTTGGCAAAACACTTTGTGATTAAGAGTTTGCTGAGTTTTCACCAGTGAAGTCTTGAGTAGTCTACAGAGAGATGGAAAGAGAGAACTTCACATTTAGAGATTACCTTCAACACTGTGGACTCAGAACTGTGCAGACACTCAGAACTAGGCAGAACAAAGCAGCCATCTGGCTGCTTTGAGGACTTCTGCTTTTATCCTGGGAAATGAGGGTCAAAGGTGGCAGAGAAGTCATCTACTAAAAGCAATTTAAAATCTTGTAATTTTTTACTGAAGCTTGCGTTATTACTTGGACTTCTTTTAGTTATTTTCCCTGTAAATTGTAAATCCGACTTGAGATCAAACCTTCAACATTTGCTTCCTGGAAGTTGCACGCTTACTTTCTGAAACATATTGTGCTCTTCACTGGGTGATATAATACCTTCTAGCAAGTAATTGCATTAACTCAAAATGTGTGCTGGTTAGGGATATTAAGCCTCTTGCCTTTTGTTTTTTCCTTGATAATAAAGTCATTATTTAAAATCTGTGTTTGGTTAACTCCTTTGTAGACAAAACAGTTTCCTCTCATTATAAAAGATCAGATTTCAAAATTATATTATAAAAGAAGAGCAGTTTTGTCCATTGCCAGACATGTTTTATAAAGCAACCTTGTCCTTCATACCTTTCTTAAACAGGATTTAAATATAGACGGTTTTTAAAAAGATGTTTTTACATAGCTTTGAATTGAAATGATAACATTAAATTAAGGAAATCTGGTATCACTAATAATGTACAGTTATTTTAAACCTAAAGGGCAACAGACATGGCAAGGGTAAAATGGAAGGGGTAAGGCTAGCTGCCACCTTGTGCAGACAAAGCATAACGACTTGAAGTGTCCTGTCTCCTGTCAGCAGTGGAACCCTCTGGATAGGTGCCTCTGCTGAGAATACATGTTTTGGTCATTTCTTTTGAATTTTGAGAGTTGTTTCTTTATTTGCAGTTACTAAATTTCTTCAACATTAATTCTTGAAGTATTAAGCCTCATCTAGAAATGTATGTTCTCGGGCACCTATCTAGTCCCTATGAATCAGGAACTAGCGTTTATCAACCTGCATCTGTGTTGTAACGAGCTTTCCATATGATGCTCAGGCATGCTAAAGTTTGAGGACTACCAAACTAAATGGACATAAGAATTTTATTGCCATTGTGAATTTGAAATCATCTACAAGTACCAGTTTTACTCATTTCTGCTGCCAATTTCATTTACTTAGTACTTCTCATCTGTTGGCCATCTAGGAATATTGGCTTCATTTTAAACCTTCCTTTAAAGAAAGGTTGTGTTATTTTTATTTTTAAATTTAAACTTAATATAGTAATAAAGCTTAATCTTTTTTACTTGCTGGTTTGGAGACCCTAAATTTTACTATTTAAAAGATATCTTATGCTTTAAAATAGTAATAATCAACATTTGATTTCTTTCACTGTCATGCATTAACTCATTATCCCAGCTATTGTCTGAACTAAATACTGTACTTATTTTATCATACTGGATGAAAGAAACAGAGAAGCAAAGCTTTCAAGTTAATTGGTGACTAGTCTAATCATCTGTTTCCAAAGCTGACATGTTTGTGTGAGCTGTGTGTGTATAGTACCCGTGAACCTGCCCTCACACAAACATCCTAAGGCCCAGGAATGAGAGGTCAATAGCAGGTGTGGAATGGCTATAGTTCTTTAAATAAAATGAGGATTACCTTTATATCAAATTATACACTCTATAGGATATTTATGACATGTTTCTTTATTATGCACATAAAACGAGGCTTATAGGAAAGTTATGATTATTTTCTGTAGGTCAGACTGCCCCACTGAAGGAAAATAAATTCAAGATTTTTATACTACCTTTTTGAAAATACATATTTCTAAATCTCTAGAGGGCTCTCAAAGAATTTGAGAAGTATTATTTTTGTTCAAGTTAACTTTGTGTATCCTGATTTTTTAACTCAGCCAAAAAAAAAAAATAATGTTTAAAGATATCAGTTGAGAGCTCTTCATTGTATTTTTCTTTTTTAAGTCAACTTAGGATTTAACTGAACTTTTTATTTTAAAAAACTGGCTATCCTACATAGAGATGAGACAGAATATTACGTTCCCTTTATTCTACAATGTTTACTGGATTTTTCTTCTGAATGTTTAAGTCTGTTGTCTCCTATCTTTTTTTATCACTTAATCTACTCTTCAATCTTGATTTCTTTTATTTGAATCACATCTTTGACACAAGAGTTTGAAGTTGATTATCCAAATTAATTTTTTTCTCTCAGACTGTTGTTCATGTTCAGTGTGTAGTAAATGTGGATCACTTGTCTAGTAACTGTGAGTCACTTCACTATTTCATCAGTTCTTAGTTCAACCCTTACTTCTTGCTTTCTTCTCTGTGCACATTAGAGAAACTTCTCTTTTGAGATTCACACGTGGCATTTTAGTGAAAAAGCGTTGACATTGTTGATGACCCATACTACCGTGCTCCTGATTTCTGTGACCCTGCATTTTTATCAGAGCATTTTATTATTATGAAATGTGCATGTGTACCATTTGATGCTTGTTTGCATGCTTTATCATCTTGGCTCTTTAGTCTTCTCCCATAAAAACAAATGTGTAGGTTTGTGCCCCTCTCAGCACCAAATAATTATCCTTATTCCTGTCACCCACATTAGCAATAACATCAAACCCAAAACCATATAGTTACAATATATTTCCATCTACCCTGTAAATTTCTTACACATACACCTTTCTAGCCCATGTAAAGTACTTTTTTTCACCAAAACATTTTTCAAGTGGGTCCATTCCCACTCCTTAGATTCAGTTACCCAATCCTTTCCTAGCTTCCTTCTGATAACTCTTAGACTTTGCATCTTAGTTTTGGTTCTCACCATTAAGACTTAGTTCACCTTACTAGGATTTTAGCTCAGACTTTCTACTTGGCACTCACTTCTTCCTTCAGTTTTCTTGCTGCTCAACTATATCAGGTTAAGATCCCTATTAAATTAAACTCTGTTTTTGTCATCAGCCTGACCTGTTCCTTTCATCATAGGTTTATTAGTCCCACTATGCATTTGGTGTACTCGACAAATACTAAGCACCAGTGTGATTAAAGAAAGAAAGAAAGAAAATTAAAATAAAATAAAATAAATGTAAAGTCTTCCTCAAAATTTTCTGTCTAGCAGGGAAGACGGACATCAAGACAATGCCTAGAAAATAATTGAGTTACACTACGACAAACCTTCCAAGCTCTCCTTTCCCTTCCTAGTCTTGTGGTAAGGGTTCCATTAACAGAGTGTCAGTGACCTGATGCTGGAGTCCCTGTAGCGTTTTGGCAAGTGCGGCTGAAGCTGCTGAGAGTATTTTAGAATAACAGTAATGCAAGGAGCCCCACCGGTCTGTGTGGAAAATGTTGAATAGTGCAATACACTGTGGAGCCTGGGGGCCTGTAATGAGGATTCGATGTCTAGAATATGAATTTTCAGACCTGAGAACCATGGCTCATGTACTTGTAAGCATTTTATATACTTTCTCTCGGTTATTCTCCCAAAGACCTTACAAGGAAGATAGTGTTTCCCATTTTTTTCAGGGGAAGAATCTGGGACTCAAGAAGGTTCATTATATGGGGTTATGGAGTTGTCAAGTGGCAGGACTGGGATCCAGCCACAGCTCTGTCTTCCCCAATCTTGAGCTACTGCAATTATAGTATAGGGCTGTGGTTTTTCTGATTTCCTGTGATGAGCACATAGATTTGCTAGGATGTCTTCCTCCCTATTCCCATGCAGACTTCTACCTTTGCAGTAACTACTTTTGGCTTGAATCTGTGTTTTCTTGAAAACAGGAAACATTCATTTGAGTATTTTCCCAGTGTTCCTATCATATCTTACTTTATGTGCATAGTCCTAGAGCTTTCAAATAACTGCTCACTCATTGCATTACCTCACGTAGACATTAATTTAGGACCAGTTGACATCCACCTTACCTGAAATGGCTAAGTATATGAATGGTACCACCAGATTTTGTAGTGTTCTCAGTGCCCTCTTGTTCTCTTTATAAGAATACATCTTGCGAAAGAGCTTTTCTACTGGTGCTCTGTAACAGTAACTAAAGTTGGTGTCCTAACAAGCAGTTAAGCTTATTTAGATATGCAGCTTGGTATAAGAATCTGCCTCATAACATCCTTCATCTGCTTCTGCCTTCTTACAGTTAGGTCTGTCTGTTGAATATTTGTCAGGATGTTAAATAAGATCATGCTTCCGGAAGAACCTTTCCTTCTCTGTCTCTGTCTCTGTCTCTGTCTCTGTCTCTGTCTCTGTCCTGTCTCTGTCGCTGTGGCTCTGGCTGTGGCTGAGTCTTTCCCTTTTTCCCTCCCTCCTTCTCTCTTTCCCTTCCTTCCTCCCTTCCTGTCTCCCACCCCCATTTTTCTCCTCCCTCCCTGGCAAATTTGTACACTTGAACCATTATGAGTTCATGGAGGGATGCAGCAAGATAAATAAGGAGGGCTTGCAAATGTGTATTTCTAATAGAGTATAGTAAAAAGTGCAGTGGAAGTGTGGTCAGATGACAAGTGTGTGGATAAAGGCAAGTCTGCCTAAATAATAGACTGAACAAAGTGACAGAACTGAAACAGAACAAGCCTCCTACTTGACATCTGCAGACGCACAGTGCTGCTTTGTGCTGAGTGTATTTAGTACTTCGGAGTAAGCATCAGAGTTCCACGGGTCTGAAGAGTTTTGGTCTTTGGTGTAGCTGTTGCTCATTATAAACCAATGGGTCAATTTTTTTTTTTTAAACCTGTGAGCGTCACTGGATAAGATACTGATAGGAGAAGTAGATGCTTGGCATGGACAAAGTTGTAAAGAGATTAGGAAAAGAACATATACTGGGTTAAAACTAGAAATATGGAAGACTACAGTATCAGATCCAAGAAAAAACTGAGACAGAAAGTTACAAACTGTGTGTTAAAATGAGAACTCACCCTGGAATACTTAGAGTTGGCTAGGGGATGTACTTAGTGGTGTATATATATTTCAGCTATTTTGTAAGTAAATAATTTTTTTCCCATATGGAAAAATAGGTTTTGGACATTGGTGGATGGAAGAGTGGTGGGATTAGAACACATTTGCATTTCCAGCTATTTACCTCACACAGAAGGGGACCTAGAGTCTTTTCTGTTTTATCCTTTGAAGATAAATAGAAATGTATTTCTAACAGCAAAGTTTCAAGTAATGCATAATTTTTCTAAAGATATTTGAAGGACCCAGTAAAAGTTTCTCTCAAATATAAAGTGCATATCAGTACTATACATATAAAGCCAAACTTAATAAGAAAGAATATTTTCCTTAAGGTGAAAGTAAAAATACTATAGTATGTTACATGATAGAAAATTAATACTATGTTCAATTTTAAGCAATGAAAAGTTTTTAACAGCCAGAACTTACTCGGTAGGGTAGGCCAACATCAAATGCTTCTGTTAAGACTTCAAGTCAGTTGACACTGTTTTTTTTTTTTGTTTGTTTATCTTTTTTAACGTTAGCAAGTTCCAGACTGGACAAACAAGGGTTTTACCAGTGGAAGTTGAGGTGCCTTGAGCGATGGGTGGGATGCCACCACTGGAAGCCAGTGTGGAGGTGCTGCGGTTAGTGCAGTTCAAGGGTATGGAGAGCAAGCCCACCTCTGCAAACCAGAGCCTCAGAAAACATTTTCTGTTTTTCAGGATGAATCTTCAAGTCATGAGTGTAACCAGCGCACCATCCTTCTATATGGAGTTGGCAAAGAGCGAGATGAAGCCAGGCATCAGCTGAAGAAGATTACCAAAGATATCTTGAAAATCCTAAATAAGAAGAGCACCACAGAGACAGGAGGTAAACAGTCTTAAAGTGTTGCCTCCCGCTGTGCTTTCTTTTGTCTTCCTTCTTTACTCACTCTTTATCGAAGTGGTATATGCCACTGTCACTAGTGTTTCCTCTGCCCAATGACTGTCACATTGAAATATGAATAAGCACATTTAAATTTTAAGACCTTGCGTCTGTTAGTAGCAATTATTGTATTAAGATACCATATTCCACAGATAGGTATAGGAGATTTTTCTTGTCTGCTCTTTTGCTATAAATTGTAAATTTTCCACAGTAGTAATGAAGTCCTGAAGAATGAGTTGAGAAACCATTATTATGAAAGTAGTCCCATGCCCTTGTTTCTTTACCGTGATTTTTTAGACTCAGTTTGCTTTAGCTCTGGAACACTCACATTTGCGCTGAACTTTTTCTTTACTATACACAGAAGAATTACAATAAGTAGGGAGAGCTACCTGTATCACCCCCCTATTTGAGTAAAAAAGAAAATTGAGTCTTTGGCAATAATATCTTTTTTACTGGGCATTTTCTTTCCCTAATGCTTTTTATGTATTTACAGTGATGCTATGCTTTTATAGTCTGTTACTATATTGCATAGTTTGAATTTTTAAATTAGTTACTTCACATTTCCCTAATTATTCTTTTCAAGATTTATGCAATCATATGATATAATATATGCCCCTCTGTCACCAATGGTGTTTGTTTTATTTCAATATTTTACTTCAGTATTTTTTTTTAAAGTGTTTGGATTAACTCTGTATAAACAGCATTCCATTCCTACATGGTGGAATCCCCACTAGGAACCCTAATATCCTTTGTATGGATTTCTCTACAGAAGATCCTGGTTTTAGACTTCAACAGGGTATAATACTTGAACTTGTCCATGCTTGATCTTTCTTAAAGAAAACAATAAGTACAGATGCTTCAAAGAACTTCTCTTTCTTCTGTCAATAAAGATATCCGTGCAGAAACATGGTGGAAGGGCAACATGTTTTAGTCTGGGTATGGGATTCTGGATGCTTCATAAGTAGGCAGTCATCTTTAAGAACACAGTGAGGAAGTCAGCATCCTAGAATTTGCATCACATTCCCTAACTGCCAGTTGATGATGGCCTTACACCGGGAGGGAACAGCCAAAAGCTGTAGAAGGGAAATGAAACCCTCTTGTTGGCTGCTTGTTACTGAGCTTGAAAAAGAAAAGTGCTCTGTCTAAGAAAACTAAATTGGTTTGATGTTTTCTCTCTTAAAAGAGGAAATGAATTGCATTAGAAGATTGAATTTAGAAACCCTGAAGCTAGATAGCCAAGAATATTTGCTACTACTTTTTGATATGTAGGAAATAAGGGTGGGGGAAGTTGTCTCCTATAAGAGATTCAAATGTACACACCTCATCTAAATTATTTACAGAGTCCGCAGATCGCATGGGATTACTGGTTTTAAAAGGCTGAAGGACCTGGGAAGGGGAAGAAAACATTGTGGTATCTTGTTGTTGTTGTTCAGTCTACCTCCTTCATGGTTTTTGAATGCCAGAGTGTAATCTGTCCTGTTTTTATACCAATGCCTTAAATAAGCTCTTCTGTCATACAAATTCACATAGAGAAAATAATTGTTTTTGTTGCTTTTTCAGATTCCAGTAATAGATACACAACTTTAAAGCAGCATCTTCTTCATTTTAGATGAAAATCCTTATCCAGAAACTGTTGAGCTATACTGAGTTACTTTCTGGAAAATACATTAGTTTTACTGTTAAGCCACAACTTAAAATTTAGTGTACACAGGGGAAGCCAGCCAGCTGTGCTTAAAGTTAATGGAAATTTGCCCTCCCCCTCACCCCCCCCCCCAGCAAAATGAGGGACTGGTCATGAGTTTGTGTTTGATTTCTGGGAACACAAAATGTAAGATTTTGAGGAACCATCCCAGTAAGAGTGTGGTCAGATCCACTAAGCCTTGCCTAAAGGACTTTCGCATTTGAAGTTTAAATGATAATTTCAGTTGAACAGCATCAAATTTCATTTTATATTTTCTATGACTAATCATCTTTTTTGGGTTGTTAATGGGTCTCTTTTGAAGCAAAAATGAAGGCTATAACATAGCCTAAAGGATTTAAGAACTTTTAAATTAAAAAAGAAAGAATTATACAACAAAAGGGCAACACTGTAAGTTACGAAAGCAAGCTGACATAAAATAGATTTTAAAATCTGAATTGTGACTTACTGCTTTTATGTAAATATCATTAAAATGAATATTTTATGGAGAACCACCATTCATTTCCCACATTTTTCTTTTAAAATGGGTATGAATTGCCGAGAATCAATTATTTTGTTTTTTATGAAGTTCTAAGAAGTTAGCCCTTTGTGTGAGTAAATGGGAGACTGTTTGCATAAACACGAAGATGGATTTGAGATTGCTTAGCTGGACCTACTTCAAGTCTGTTGTGTGTTTTGGTCCTAGAAAGGACTGAATTAATACATTAACTTCACTTTTAAAGCAATGTGTACACAAGACAGTTGGTGTGAGCTTTTCAGCTATGGATCCCTGATATTAGGAAAAAATCAAAATTGGGTATTTTAAACACATGCATGACCTTTAAACAGCTATCATGAAGACAAAATTCCATACTTAATTTGTGCTTATGAGAATAAATATTGAAAACTTAGTATATATAATGAAATTGCTGGTTCTCATTCTTTGCATGTATCTGGTATACAACCTGAAAGTGGCCCAGGCATAAAACTTATGTTATTCCACCAGCTCTTAATTCTGGTATTGACATTCATTTGTTTTAGCAGTTTGGAATACAGCAATTATTTTGTTTGTTTTTGTGTTGGACTTTAAACAAAAATTGCTTATTGTTGAAAGGGAATATTATTTTCTTAAAGCATTACATTTTCCATTAGCAAAAACATGTTTTAGTGTAGTAAAATTTTGTTCATTTCTTGTGTCTTTGATAAGAAATCTGTAGTGAAATTTGTTCTGTCAAATTAAACTTTCCCTAACTTGAAGACAGTATGAATGCACAGCTCATTAGTGGGTGCTCTTTAACTATTTAGAATTTATGATGTTGGAAATAACTTTAAGATCATAAAATCACACTTGGCCTTCGTTTTTGGATTTATCTTTGTAGATATATATATTAAAAATATTTTAAAATAGGAGTGACTCTTCTGTTGGATCTTAGTACTGTTAAGAATGAGATTCCTCTGAAATAAACAATGTAATATTTTTAACTGGAATTCTTCAAACTTCATTATGCTAAATTGATAGCACTTTGCCATTAATGTGGAGTCATTTAATTTCTTACTGTCCCTAAAAAAAATTAGACATCCCATAAATTTCTCTTTTTACATGTTAACTGATGCAGGTAAGTATGGAGGTGAGTTAGCATAGAATATGCTAATGAAGGGGCCTATTGTGTCAAAGTGGAACTGAGTGATCCCTTTCCCTTCATTGTTGATGTCATTTTGTTTTTTCAATTAAAAAAATTGGGGGTGGGGGTGTTGAGGATATAGCTCAGCCACACAGTGCCTGCCTGGCAAGTATGAGATTATGAGTTCAATCCCTGGTAATCCCCCCTCCCCTCCAAAGAAATTTTGTTCTTTTTAAACAGGGTCTTGCTTTGTAGTTTGGGCTGGCCTTGAACTCAACGCAGTCCTGCCTCAGCCTCCCAAGTGCTGGGATTACAGGCGTGTGCCACCAAGCCTAGCTGATGTTACTGTATTTTAAAAGTCATTTAATGATAAAGGCACTTTCATGACTGACAAATTCATGACAGTACTAAGAAAGGAAAATAAACCAGTGGTATAGACACATCGTAATACTGTGCATTAGTTAGAATTACTAATTTTTAGAACAAATCAAAATTGCATCAGCAAGTCAATAGTTTTATTTTGTTTTTTGTTGCAGTGCAGGGGATTGGGAGCCCAGTTACCAGAACCCAGTTCCCCAAGCATTCTAGTTAGGCACTCTTACCATTGAGCTGCCGTACCTCTGAGCTGTATTCCCAAGCACAGTTTCCAGTGAGTCAGACTAGAAAGCATACTGTGGCTGGGAACAGTAGTACATGCCTGTGATGCCTAACACTAGGGAGACTGAGTGGGGGATCCGGCTTGGGCAAATTAGTGAGACTCTGCCTCCAAAAATAAAAAAGGAGTGTCAGGGAAGTAGCTCCATGGTCAGTTTGTGGAGTACTCCTAGGTTTTTATCCTCAGTTCTACACACACAAAAAAGCTTAATGTTGCACAAAACATACCACATATGAAAATTATAATCTGTAGGATTGAATTAGATACAGTTCCCAAGTGCACATTACCGATCTAAGCTATAAGAATTCAGGATCTTGGTCCCCTATGAAGAAAGGGAGCTAAATGGGTTTCTGGGGTTCTGGGATGCTGTTTTCTGATTTGGACATCATTACATTTGTGGCTACTTGGGGTACATAGAGTTTTTCCATATATGTTATACTTTAATAAAAATTATCTATTAAAAAGTGAAGAGCTTCATTTACATACAAAAAACTCCATTTGTTTTATGTTTATTTAGTTGGGGATGAAGGGCTAAAGGCCAGGAAGAACAAACAAGAATCATTTCCAACCCTGGAGACTGTCTTTACAAAACTCCAACTTCTTTCCTATTTTGATCAGCATCAAGTGACATCTCAGGTAGCCATTTTGACTTGTTATTGTGTATCTAGAATATTCTTACTTCGGCTCAGATCTTTCATACAGTATGTTTTTAGCCCTAGTTAATTTTATAAATACATTTTTAAAAAATTTGAAACAATTTTCATACTACTTTTAAGTGTCACATGGTCTTCCTAAAAATTTGCTTTTATTATGTAAACATTTTTACCTTATGATAACAATTGTAATATATAAAACAAATCTAATGGAATGCTTATGTTATTATGTATAGTTCATATGTCACTGTTGAGGAAGGATAAGTCTGTTGAG